TGTGTTTTGTCAATCTGGCTTAGTTTTCTCTAAGCTTAATCAGTTTAGCAAATCTTCTCTGTGTGAAGTGCCATACATATACATACTTTCGACAATTACTTAATTATTTTGAGGATGTGGAAAATCAGCTTCTATTAGCTTCATTGTTGGCTTGAATCCAAGATCACAAACCCTCAAAGTGAGTTGTAATATATTTTTAACATATATTCTAAAAATCCTGCCAGTGTATTAGATTTATTTAAATGATTTGATGATTTTGCTCCAAGGACCAAGCTTGGACTATTTTTCTTTTGTACAGTCTTCATACTTGCCGTTTTAGGAAGATATTATGGTTTATCAGAAACTCCTCATAATGAATTTTTCTAGATTGTAGTAGAATAAACAAAGTTCTTTTTTATTATTATCTGGACCAATTCTAAAGTTCTCTACATCATTTTTTATGGAATATTTCATGGTCTGGTGTCATTCCCTTTATCATATGATTTATAGGATAACATCTTATTTCTCTTTAATTAATTAAGGATGGAATTTTCTTCCATAGCTACGTCATTGTGCTTCTCTCATCCCATAAAATTTTCAAGCTATAATTGTTTGTGATGTCTTCTCACATACATAATACACTTTTGCTCATTTCTATCCCTTGCTCACATTTTGTGAATTGGCATTACAATATCTTCTGTCCACAGTTTCCCACTCTATGAGATTGCAATTATGTTAAAATTTTACTTACTGTCATTTATTTAAATTAATATTTACTGGGCACTTACTATGTTCAAAGCACTGTGCTATCTACTGTGAAAGAAAAAAGATATTTAAAATAATCCCAAAGAGTCCACAATCTCAGCATTCTAGTGATATTTTTTTAGGCTTGTAATATTTGTTAGCGCTGTGAATTGTGTAAGACTGTTGAATCACAGACTTGTACCTCTGAAACAAATAATACGTTGTATTTTTTTTCTCTTTAAATTTTTTATTGTTATGTTAATCACCATACATTACATCATTAGTTTTTGTTTTTGTTTTTGTTTTTAAGATTTTATTTATTTATTCATGATAGACAGAGAGAGAGAGAGAGAGAGAGAGAGAGAGAGAGAGAGAGAGAGAAGCAGGCTCCCCACTGAGCAGGGAGCCCGACGCAGGACTTGATTCCAGGACCCTGGGATCTTGACCCGAGCCGAAGGCAGACGCTTAACCATCTGAGCCACCCAGGCGCCCCTACATCATTAGTTTTTGATGTAGTGTTCCATGATTCATTGTTTGTGCATAATACCCAGTGCTCCACGCAGAACGTGCCCTCTTTAATACCCATCACCAAGTTAACCCATCCCCCCACCCCCCTCCCCTTTAATAATACATTGTATGTTAAAAAAAAAAAAAGAAGAAGATAGCAGGAAGGGAAAAATGAAGGAGGGGGAAATCGGAGGGAGAGATGAACCATGAGAGACTATGGACTCTGAGAAACAAACTGAGGGTTCTAGAGGGGAGGGGGGTGGGGGGATGGGTTAGCCTGGTGATGGGTATTAAAGAGGGCACATACTGCATGGAGCACTGGGTGTTATACGCAAACAATGAATCATGGAACGCTACATCAAAAACTAATGATGTAATGTATGGTGATTAACATACCATAATAAAAAAAAAGAAACACTTATATATTTTGACTTGGCTTTTCTTTCACTTCCCATTCCTATTTGTTGTCCCATCTGAAGGAGTATCTACTCTGTCACCTCTTTTTAACTCAAGGAGGCCAATGAATTCCCTGTTGGCTCTTAAAACAGAGTCTTTGTCAATCTCTTTTGTGTCTTTTGTTCTGTTTCTCCCCAGTTTTTAGAATAAAACCACCACCTAGTTGCTAAGATAGTACAGTGTTAGTGACAAGTGGTTTATGGGGTTTTCTTGTAAACATTACATCTCCTTTTGCTGAATCAGGATATCTTCTTCACTCTCATCAAAAGACCAAACCATCACTTGCTGTAGGCTTATTTTCATTTGTTTGAAAATTAAAGAGTTGTCAATAGACTTTCTGATGAAGGGATGGAGGGCATCTAAATCCATTATTTTAGACAATAATGCTACTTCTCAAAGAGTTAAAGAAAAAGAGAAGAGCAAACTCTTTAGCCTTAATAGGCACCTATGCTTGGAGGTGAAATGGGCCAGGAAGAAAAGAAGAAAAAAAGTAGAAAAAGAGAGTAAAGACAAAGGTACATATTGTTAGGAATCCAATATAGAATGAGGAACCCTACCAAGATCTAGTTTTCATCAGACATGGCCTTTGTTTCCACCCTTATTTTTACCCCTCCCAAATAGGGTAGGATATAATTGGGTATCATCTCTTAAATCTTTTACTAATAACCATTAACAAACCAACTGTTCAAAATCCTTTAAGTGCCTCTTATAGGTGAAACATTGGTGCTAGACAAGACAGAAGAAATATATAATTCCATGCCTGCCTTCAAAAGTGTTATTGTCTAGCTGTGGCAATTGGGGGTCTTTGAAAGGTTTCAAAAAGAGTAAAATAGACATTAAGTACTGAAAAATTCAAAAGGAGAAGGTGAGCATTGATCTGAGGATCTGAAAAACTGGTCTCTAATCCATCTCTATTTCCTTGCTATGTGACCTTGGACAAATCATTTCTTTCAGGTCTTTCCTTTCATCCCACCCTCTTCCTCCCCCAGAAAAAAAAAAAAGAAAAGAATTCCATCCTGGAAGATCTCTAAAATGTACGACAATATGAGATGATTACTAATGAGCTCTTTTGTGTTGCCCAGATTGAAGTCTAAAGGTAGCTATGGCCCCCTGAGCTGCTCTCTTCATTTTCACAGACATAGGTATCAAGGTCTAAATTTTCCACAGTTCAGTATCAAGTCAGAGCACAGAACCAAATTTTCCCATCCTGATGCTGTTACGTTTTCTAATCCTGCACCAAATAGTGCATCTTTCAAAATGATTGTGACTCATAGAAAAAGCTTAAAATATATTACTGACACGGTTTACTTAGAGAAATGTTTCTTTAAAAAAATTGTTTATGTGAAAATAGGGGGAAGGGGTAATTCTACGTATTAGAGGGAACAAGGTAAGCAATCGATTCCTTAGGATCTGAAAGGCTAAATATTCCAAAAGTCTACTGAAATACAATTCTCTCTGGCAGAGGTTAAGCAATTATGCAAGTGGCAGGACAGTGAAGGAAGCCCAACAGATGCACCTGGAGAGCGAGTAGAGGTGATAAATTGCAAAATCACCTGCCCAGTTCACAATATCATCCTGGGTCAGACCTAGGGAAACCCTTCCAGCAGCCTCGGACTCAGGGCGCCCAAGTTTGCACGTTTCCACGCATTCTATTGATTCACACTTCCGTCCTTCAACAGGTAGCGCCAATTACAGCCCCCAAAACACGGCCCCCCAGCATACTGGCCAGTCTCGCCGTCAATCAAATACTACACCTACCTTTCTAAATTCTCCCCTCCCCCTTTCATTGCCTTTTCCTTCGGCCTATCCCCAAATTTCTTCCGCGCCTCGCGACCACGGAACTTGGCCCTATGGGGCCTAGGATTGGAGCCGAGGCTACTCCCGCCCTTTGACGTCCCGGAGCTCTCCGCCTCTTTCTCCGGCGCCGCGAGGCCCGAAGTGGAGGGGGCGGGGCGAACGAGGGGGCGTTTCAGGGGGCGGGGCTTGCATCCCACGGCGGGAGGGCGGAGCCTTCCTTCGAGCCTGCCTGCCTGGTTAGGACCTCGGAGAGCGCCGGGTGCCACGACCAGAGGGACGGGAGAAGCGGCGGCAGTCGGGCGCGAGTGACGCCTGCGAGCCAGCCTCCCTCCGCACCTTCAGCTTCTCGGTCTGGCTGGCAGCTAGTGGTGGCCGAGGAAGGTGCCTAGGGCGGGAGTCAGATAGTCATCCCTCTGGGACGCCGCCGCCGCCGTCTAGCAGCGGCTCCCTCACACCTGTGTGTGTGTTCATGAGCGTGAGCGCCCGCGTGCCAATTTCTGTGTGAGGGTTGGGTGTGCTCCGGCTGGGCGCGCTAATGTCTGTGTGAGGGTGTTTGTGTGTGCTAGGTGCCTAGGCGCTCGGCCCGGGGAGGCACCGCGGGAGCGGCGGCTCCGCGCGCCCAGCAAGCTGAGGCGGGACTCGGGCTGCAGCTGTCGCCGCCACTTCCTCACGTCCCCCAAGAGCCGCCGCGGTGCTGCGGGGAGAGCGGACGGGCGGGCGAGTGCGGCGGCGGCTGCGGGCAGAGCGGGGTGGGGGGTGAGGGGGTGGGTGGAGGGTGGGAGAAGAGGGAGGAGGGCTGGAGACGCTGGGAGGGAAGGGGGGGCGGAGGGAGAAGCGGAGGCAGCCGGCGCCGCCGCTCGCCCCTCCCGTCGGCTCTTGCTGTTGGGTCACCCGCAGATGTTTTGGGGTCCGGCTGTTGGGGGTGGGGAATGGAAAAAGGCCTACCCCTCATTACCTACTGAAAAAAAAAAGGGAGCGTTGAAGATGATGGGGGGAGAGCCCAGATGGTGGTAGTAGAGTAAATACCGGCTCTCCCACCGCACAACCCCAACATCGTTTTTCTGAAAATATTCTGAGCTGAACCTTTAGAAGGAAAGCCCGCCCTTAAGAGAGAGAGTCTTGGTCTGTTGGACTCCGGCCTGATTGTATAATAATAATAATGATGATATAATGCTAATGACGATGATGACACTGCCTTTTATTTTTACCCCAGTGCTGATAAAGCGTAGCTACAGCTGGGGATAAAGCCCTTGAAAATTTGATGTATGAGGAGGAAATACTGTTGCTTTTAGAGTTATATTTTATTATTTCTTTTTAAAGGATGTTCTTTTCTTGGACTAAAATTTGACAAAATGAAGTATGACTTTCTCTCTCTTTTTTTTGTCATTTATAGCCGATGCTCGTAAAATGAGGACTGGCTACTGCCTTGACTAGTAAAAAGCTAAACACTTTTACCCAGGTATAAGCTCATGTGTTAAGTCACCCTTTCCTTTGAATTTCTCAACAGTTTTTTTAAAATGAAGAAGTTTAATTTCCGAAAAGTTTTGGATGGCTTAACTGCCTCCTCCCCTGGCAGTGGTAGCAGCAGTGGCAGTAACAGTGGTGGTGGGGCTGCAAGTGGTTCCATACATCCAGGAGGGACTGCAGGGGTTCTCAAAGAGGAGATTCAGGAAACCCTGACTTCAGAGTATTTCCAGATTTGCAAGGTAAGTTCTGAATTGGCTTAAAGCCTATTATTTCTTTATTTTACTGTTGTGAGGAAAGAAGAATTAACAACAGCAACACCCACACTAGGGACTGGAAATTGTTGAGATGCCAGCAGTAGACAGTCCTGGGCAGAGAACTCTATAGATAGATGTTTGAATTAATAAAGATATTCTAGTCATTGATTTCAACATCAATTTAAGAAGCTATGGTCGTTTAAAATGGAAATAAGCAAACATAGAAGGTAGGATTTGCAAGACAATGTTAAGGTCCAAATTGTGGACAAAATTTTTAATGTAATATTTATGTATAAGTAGGAAACTGAAGGAAAAAATCATTCTGGTTAATTCCTTGTTGACATTCAGTGAAACTATTATTTTATGTCACTGTGCAGTATAAAATGATTAAACCTATTAAGATGTTGCTACAAGTAAATAGATAATAGCTAAAGGAATACATCCATTTTAAAAGATCTAATGGTATTGTTTTACATTCATTGTTTAAAATTCTGTAGAAAAACACCCCCAGATTCTTAATAAAAAATGCCATGGATTTAATTCTCGTAAGAACTTAAAAAATAGCCTGTTTTCTGGTTTAGTGAGGAAACATTTCAGGTAATTATGCTTTAATGTTCAGCTTCTAATGAATAAGCAAAAGAAAGAGTTTCTGATGGGGAGAGGTGAGAATTTACAAAACAAATGTTTTGTTAATATATAGATATTGTTATATTTTTCTGACATAGTTTATAATTTTTATTGTTTCTTTTTTGGGGGGGTAGCCTAGGAATGTGTTTTTGACCTACCATGTACAATTTAAAAAGCTACTAAGTCATTCATATGATACAGATTGAATATAGTTTTAAAATATTTGAATACATAAGAACAAATCATAAATTTCTGAAATCACAGAAATTATTAAATTTTTTGGTACTTCAAAAGAATTGTTTTGAAATTATTAAAATTATTTTTGTAGTAAATAACTTCTATATAATGAGATAAGTTTCAATTATTGTCTTAGTCTCCATTCCCAGTAAGGTCATTATAAAACATTAAATCTGTTTACGCAAAAGTGAGTTTATTTAGAATTAGGTCAGATTAAAAGATATAATTCTACCCCTGTGAGGTTTGTATGCACAAAATTTTGTATACAAAGTTGTATATAATTTCATTCTCAATCTGAAATAATAGATATTTTGTCAGATTAGGGGCTTAATATTGGTCATGAGACAAATATGTAAAAGGATCTTAGGGGTCAAATTTGAACTGCTAGTCAGGGGAATAATGCCCTGATTATCTAATCTTTGACATATTACTGTTTCCATTCCAAGATTCTGAAAAAATTTCCAAATTCTCAGTTGATAAATGTGAGGCAGGAGAGTTTTTGTCAAGATAAAATTGATATAAAAAAGACCTCTGAAACAGAGTGGCATTGGACTGTTGAGGTTTTGAACCTGGTAGAGAAGGTTTTAATTTAAAAATTTCAGGGGAAATGGGTGAATGCAAGAGAGGAAAATGGGATATATAGTTATCTTCCCATTTATTCAGATAGGAAATAGACATGAAAAGTGCCAGAAGTTAAATATGTATTAATTCAAAAACATATGGCATGGTAGGAAGAACACTGGCCTAGGAATCAGATTGTATCTTATTTAAAGTTCTGTCACTTGCCAGCCACGTATCTCGGGCAAGCCTTTTATCTGCCTTGAACCTTGATTTTCCCATCTGTAGTATGGTAATAAGTATTTCTGCTCTTCTGACTTAAAGTTGTTGGGAAGATCAAACAAGACAATTAGGTGAAGGCGATGTATAAATTGGAAAAGGCAATAAATTGTTTATTTTTATATTCTTAAAGTTTTAAAAATCACCTTGCTCTTGGTGGAATGACTACAAGCAGTGGGCTATAATAATATAGGTAACAAGATTATACTTTCAAGGAAATTAGAAGGATAGATAGCTATATAAGTGGAACACTAATAGTATTGAACTGTTACTAAATGGGGAAAGTATTATGGCATCTTTGGATAGCAATATAGTTAATTTTAAAAAGTAATTTTATGATTGTACTTTAGGTTACCTGGACTATAATAAAATATATAAAAATGGATTAAGGATGTTTCAAAATTAGAACTGTTACTAAAATGGGGACTTCATTTGGACTCACTGATTAAATGTGCAAAGAACATTCTATTCTGAGTACTAAGCAGTTGGCACCTTTTGGGTACTTGTACCTTTTCCACATGGCCAAAATTAAAGTACAAATCTGTAATCTTCTCTTTTGAAAACCATCCTCCTCTTTATTTTCTGATCGGCCATCAAATCCTATCTATTCCATTTCCTTAGTATTTCTGAAATTTATTCCCTTTTTGCCATCTCTAGTACCTGTTCATTCTATCGTATTTTCTTTTTTTTTAAAGATTTTATTTATTTATTTATTTGAGAGAGAGAATGAGAGAGAGAGAGAGCACATGAGAGGAGGGAGGGTCAGAGGGAGAAGCAGACTCCCTGCTGAGCAGGGAGCCCGATGCGGGACTCGATCCTGGAACTCCAGGATCATGACCTGAGCCGAAGGCAGTCACTTAACCACCTGAGCCACCCAGGCACCCTCGTATTTTCATGATTAGTCACTTGAATCACTTCCTACCTGATCTTCTTACCTCTTGTTTTACCCTATTTCAGTTGATTTTGTTATGTTATAATAATGGTTATTTCTGAACTATAATGTTCATTATGTCATTTCCCTGCTAAAAATTCTGTTGGTTTCCCTAGAGCACTGATGCTCTATAAACAAAAGTCTAATGTGAAACCCTGTAAATAACATCTATTAAAACAAATGTACTTTATTGGCATACATTTAAAAAATAAATTATAATAAGTTATACAGCTATTACAAAAAACTTGTTTTTTTTTTATTTGTTTTTTGTTGTATAATATTATCCCTGGCAGGTGGTAGGACTTTTTCTGGCCTTAAAAAAGTAAAAGTATAAAGCTACAACCTTTATAATCGGTCACAAATGTATAAGAAGTTCAAAAACACAGAAATGGTAGAAGAAACTTTGGTTCAAGGTTAGCAAAAAAGTTAATACATTGGTTTACTGCAATCTCAGTTCAGTATGTATACATTTGAATGCCCATTTGTTCAGATATTTGTGAAATACAAGAAGTGCCTTTTCTGAACTTGAATTCTATGAAACGCAATTTGAAACTACTGCTCTATACAATAAATGTCAAACTGCTTAACTTGATCTATATATAGTTCCCTTTAGATGGGATTCCTGTTTACCTTTCCATCCTCATTTCTGTGATTTCCTAAGCATATTGCATTACCTGAAAGCACTGTATTTTCATATCTGAATACCTTTTCTCAATATATTGCTTCTAATCACAATATCCTTTCCAGCTTTAGTAAAATTGGAGAATTCCCAGTTACTTTTTTTTTTTTTAAGATTTATTTAGTTATTTGAGAGAGAGATAGGGCAAAGGGGGCAGGGGCTGGGGAGGGAGAGGGAGAGGGAGAGAAACCTCAAGCAGATTCCCTGCTGAATGGAACCCAAGGAGGGACTCGATCCCAGGACCCTGAGACCATGACCTGAGCTGAAATCAAGAGTTGGACGCTTAACTGACTATGCTACCCAGGTGCCTCCTCCCCAGTTACTTTTTATCTCATAGTAAAATACTACTTCCATGAAACCAACTCTGCCCACTGCCTTCCTCTTTTCCTGCCCAAAGCAGAGTTAGTTTTTTCCCCTTCTTCTGTTTTCCTATAGCACCTGGCATGTTCCTATAGAGTTAAGTTAACACCTTATTGTGATTAGAAAATTTATTTTTCTGTCACTATTGTTATATTGTCATCAATGAAACAATATATACATGGTTGGTTAATTAATTGAAATGAAATTAAAGCAGAAAGTTATTAATAAATATATAGGTCTTAAACATTTTATTTTAAATAAAAATATGTAAATATACATCAACTTACAAATCACTTGTTAAATGAACAAGATTTTTTTTTTGAGCATTGGTTCTATAACTGGAGTTCTGTGTGTACTTTTCTTCCACAAACCATCCCAAATTCGTTATGGTTTTAATTTATTTAAAGTAGAATAAGAACTTATATGCTTTTGAAGCAGGTGACACTTAGTTTATACATATGATGAATATATAGTTGACCCTTGAACAAGGTGGGGTTAGGGGTACAAACCCCCACATGATCAAATATCTCTATATATTCGACTCTCCAAAAGCTTAACTTCCTGAAAACTTTGACTCCTCCAAAACTTAACTATAAATAATCTACTGTTGACTGGAAGTCTTACTGATAACATAAACAGCGGATTAACACATAGTTCGTATTTTATATATATTATATACTATATTCTTACAATAAAGTAAGCTAGAGAAAAGAAAATGTTATTAAGAAAATTATAAGAAGAAATACATTTATAGTACTATACTATATTTATTGAAAAAAATTCCAAGCATCAGTGGACTCATTGCAGTTCATATCCATGTTCAAGTTTCAACTATATATATATATATATATATATATATATATAAAGTATAGATATATACACACATATATATAAAACGTATAGATGTAGGTATATATTTATACTTATCTATACACAAGATATATGCATGTGTGTGTGTATATATACATATATAAAATCTAGATAAATAGATATATATTCATCCCTATAGTTAACTGACCTACACCCAATTAGGCCAGAGTAGGAGAGTATAAGTATTCTAGTTAGAGTTTACTAGTATCAAGTATTCAGGGAATCATTAATATCAATCTATGTTTTACAAAGAGAATGGGAAGTTTTTGTTAATCTAGCGAGGTGGTTAATTTAAAGGTAGAGATCTTTATCTGTAAGATCTCCCATTTGACCTTCATAACAGTCCTGTAAAGAAGGCAAAGAAAGTGTAAATATTTTTATTTTACTAATAAGACATCTGAGGCCAGAGAATTTAAGTGGTATCCTTAGGTCTCCAAGTTGGTA